GTAATATCCCCATTGGCCAAACTATTATGTATTAACGACAAGACCTATCATTAATGTATGATGACTTACTGTAAATATGTAGCTCTTGTAATAGCACTTTCTCTGTAACTAGCTGACATTGTATCTATAAGGTGTGAAGGATTGAAGAAATTGTTTATGTAATAATCTAAGATGAGGTCTGATAAAGACCCTTTGTGCCCTCTGTAATGCTTTTGCACTACCGCTCACAGGATGAGTATGGGGTGCACAATAAACTAGCCGCCTTCGGCGGCAACAATTAATTAAATAAAGTCAATAAATCCACAAGGGCCGTGATGAGAATTCAAACGTACGTCTGGGATGATCCAAGATGCACCTTTAGTCAATTGTGCCACAACATGGTTACCATAGCGCCACAACCATTACCACGCTATGGTAACCAACATGGTTACCATAGCGTGGTACAATCGACTAAGGCGCGTCTCTAATCATCCCAGACATAGATTTGAACCCTCATCACGGCCCTTGTGGATTTGTACAAAACATACCTTTATAAACAAGTTTTACAATGGATTTGATTAATAAATGAGAAGCCAGGACCAAAGGGTCCTTCTTTGTGACAGACCCGGCATTCACACCAAAAGCAATGCACTCACAAGACACTCGTCTTCTTCACAACCCCCAATAAACGTACAGGTAATGGCCAAGCTACATACCTGTCCAGTGCAGAGAAGTCTCCAGAGGGGATAACTATACAACACAATCTCATATGAATTTACCAAAATGCCAATATACTGTAATGAAAATAGTTCAATGTTCCAATAAATACCATAAGGTAAGATGACATCACAATTTACCCGAGGGGCCATTAACACTAGTGGCCTCGACGAGGACAGGAAGCTGGTGGCTTGTCGAAGGTCCACCCCCATCAATATATGCTCATGATGAATACTAGGCTTCACCTTTAGCTGAGGACTCAATTTATGAGTGTTGTATTAAATCATTATTTTTATGGACCATGGAGAATACTGGCATTGTGGTCTTCTTTTGACCTTTTTCTTTAGTAATTGGTTTATAAATATCAACATATTTTATATATCTGAGATTGGTTATGATTAAAACTTTCTCTCTCACAGTACACACCCAGGAAAAACAATAGTCCCTTCCACTGCGCTATGCACAATTCCCGTCCCTTGCCCTAAATGTATCCATTCACTGGATGTGCCACATTTCCTTTGTATCTTATGAATGAAGTTTATTCTATGACTGAACTGATATTCATTCGTAGAATGTCAGTTGGTAAAGAGTATTATGGAAAAATGGTATGGAAGTTATTATCCCCAACCTCATTATTTATACAATACAATGCTGTATATTATGAATTACTGTACTTGTTTGTGGGTTGCCAGATTTTGACCCACACCTCACCTAACTCATTCTTGGCCCATCATATCTGGCACTGATCCAATGACCCGAAACACACACACACACCACACCTGTTAAGTCTCCAAAAGGACCCTTTTTTTTTTACCATACAACTCAAAAATTTGTCCTTTTTTTTTAGCATTAGTCAATTACAAGCCCTCCAACTGAATTCATGTGATGGAATTCATATGAATTTCGCACTCCATGTGATGAAGTGCGAAAAGATACGTGAATTTAGAGACAATTCTATAACCAATGTTCCAGCGGTGTAAATATTTAATTCAAAATGATCTGCTACCAGAAATTTTAGCCAAATATCCCTAGTTTGCTAACTGTAGGTAGTAACTGAGGGATTGTAGCCTATCCACCGCTGCCCACTGGATAGGGGGCGGTGTGCCGGACAAACATATAAATTTTGACACTAGCTCTCCACATATGTCAGTTGCTTAATTTAGAAACGGTAATTATGGTCGATCTCAAACCCATTGTTGATGTGACGACTTATATTGAATTTTGTAACTAGCTCATCAAGATTGTAACTTGCTTAGCTAAATGAATTGTGGAGTTCAGTCCCTGAGCCCATTATGTGCCTCTGTAACCCTTTCCACTACCTCCCACAAGATGGGTATGGGGTGCATAATAAATGAACTAAACTAACTAACAACTGAATTGAGACGCTTAAGTATTTTTATTACCATTTCCACCATACATCTAATGTTGTCGTCAAATGTTGGCTCTGTGCTGGCTGGCAGGTTAAACAACCATAGCATATCAGATTTTCAATAATTATTAGTTTTATTGTTGGCTCTAATGTGAGTTTTTTCAAATACTAGCATAACTAATATATCTCCTTAGTGAATTATTAAAAAAAAATTCTGTGTATGAATATATCAATATATTCTGCTCATCTATTATTCTTTATAGGTAAGTCAGAATTTATGGTCTTGATAGGCAATAGAATAACATGGATATAAAAACTACCAATGATTTTCCATATACTATATAATAGTTAATATGCTAAAAAAAATTGAAATGTGCATAATGTAGATACAGTAAATGTAAATAATAAAGTAACTACCCATCAGGTCCTGGAACACATCAGCTCTAGCAATTCACACTCAATTTGCCTTCATCTTCTCACCTCATGGAGCCTTGTAAGATATTATCATCTTTTACCCCCTTAAATCTTAACCAATACAAACATGACATCACACCAACCTTCAGATACCGCTCACTGTTACCTTATCTTTCATATATACACACACATTAGCATGCTCCTTTCTGCAAGCATTTCATCAAGGTAGTCCTGGACAAACATCTTGACTAAATGCCTAAGAAACTTGCCTCTTTCACTACTTGATGCCACCAAGCTGTGAAGAAAGGGCAACCCTAGTAATAAAAGGTAATTAATACATTATTAGCTATATTCCCTTATGTACTGTTTGTTGTGCTGAGGGGAGCAAGAGAAGGGTGCTGCATACTTTTGCACGAGTAGTGTACTGAACCAGGTTATGTTTATGCTTCCCATCCACGTCTGCCATGTGTAATTACCTAAGGTACTTACAGGATGAGAGCTATGCTCGTGGTGTCCGTCTTCCCACTACTCTTTTGTCATATAACGCTTTGAAATTACTACTGTAATGGTTTTGTCCTCCACCACCTTCTCACCTAACTTGTTCCAACCCTCTACCACTCTGTTTGGAAAAGTGATTTTTTTTTATTTCTTCAGTAGCTTTGTTTAGTTAGTTTAAATCTATGACCTCTTGTTCTTGAAGTTCCACGTCTCAGGAATTCTTCTCTATCAATTTTATCGATTCCCATTACTGTTTTGTACATAATGATCATATTGCCTCTTTTTCTTCCCAGTACTCTTTGTCATATGATGCTCTGAAACTCTTGACAGTATGGGCTTGTTCCAATCATTGACTTTTACTCTGTTTGCAAAAGTTAACTTTTTGGGGGGGGGGGAGGGGCAGCATTGTTTTGTTAGTTTGAACCTTTTGTCCTCTAAATCTTATAGTTGCAGGTTTTTCTTTATTTATTCTTTGTGAATTTTGTTGATTCCTCTTTCTATTTTGTACATAGTGATCATATCATTTCAAAGTTCCATTACAGTGGCACCTCGACTTACGATTTCCCCGACTTATGATAATTTCGAGTTACGATGTAAATTTGATCGAAAAATGCAACTCGCCTTACGATATTTGTTGGTACATGTTTGGGTCGACCGAGTGCGTGGTTCCCGGCCACGAGGGCCGACCTGCCACAGTTTACTAGAGCTGCCCGCTTAGTGACGATCACGCCTATAAGAAATTAAGTTTTTGTAGTGTTTTTTTGCTTTTTGAACATAAAACTGATTATTACATATCATGCCATGAGTCTCAAGAAAGTCAGTGGTAAGGTTCAACATATGAAAACACATGTAATGATGACCATAGAGCAAAAACAAGAGATCATTCGTAAATATGACAATGGCGTGCGGGTTGTTGAACTAGCTAGGCAGTACAACAAATCTCAGTCAACGATATCCACCATACTTGCTAAGAAAAAGGACATTATGAGTGCTAAAGTGGCAAAAGGTGTATCAATAATCACGAAACATAGAGCACAAACACTTGAGGATGTTGAACAGTTATTATTAATTTGGATACACACCAAGGAGTTTGCACGTGATAGAGTTTCAGAGGCCATCATTTGTGAAAAGGCAAGGAAATTGCATGAAGACCTTTTAAAGAAAGCCCCTGGAACGAGTGATGCAAATGCGAAACAGTTTAAGGCGAGCAGGGGATGGTTTGAGAAATTTAGAAACAGAAGTGGCATTCATAGTGTTGTGAGTGTTGTGTGTTGCAAGCTGGTGGAGGAATACAGCGAAGAACTGACCCCCGAAGAACTTCACAAGGAGCAGCAACACAAAACAGCTGAGGAAATTTCTTCAGGGGAGGAGGAGACAGTACAGAATGTCCCTTCCTCATTAATTAAGAAAATGTGTGCAGCATGGGAAGAATTGCAAACTTTTGCTGAAACGACTCACCCATATCACGGTGCAGTAAGCCGTTGCCTTAACCTTTTTAATGACACTGTGATGCCTCACTACAGACAAAAATTAAAACATATGGAAAAACAAAAATCTCTGGAAAGGTTTTTAGTGAGACAAACAAGCAGTGAATCACAACCAGGTCCTAGTGGTATGCAGGCAAAATGTAGGAGTGAGTGTACCCCAGAGAAGTCATCACTGCCTGATGTTATAATGGAAGGGGACTCCCCTTCCAAACAGTAACACCTCTCCTCCTTCCCCCTCCTCACCATCTTTCATATGCATCAAGAGTCCTCCATAAAGGTAAGATAAACATATGTACTGTATACATATGTACTGTTAGAAAAAAAATTGTATCCAGTATAAAATGTATTTGTAAATTAATATTTTGGAGGGGGGGGGGGGGAACGGATTAATTCAATTCCCTTTATTTCTTATGGGAAAAAGCGCTTCGACTTACGATATTTCTACTTACGATCCGTCTCTGGGAACGGATTACCATCGTAAGTCGAGGCCCCTCTGTATATACATTTAAAAAGGAAGGAAATATAAAATCTATATATCTAGAGGTACATCAAAAAATTTGTACACAAATTTAACATAACTTAAGACTAATTCATCATCAAGTTTCCTATTTCTACTCCTTAAAACATATCTACAAATTTTAAGTGCCAACTATGTCTTTCCAAAATTACTTTACAACCTTTTACCTTAATCTTCAAATATCACTAAAAGTGTTAAATAATCAAGTACTGGAAACATCACCTAAAATGACACAAAACTTTTACCACTGGTATTTCTAACATTAATATACTTCCCCTATATTAAATTTCTATTATGCACTCTGTGACGTGAATATACCTCGGTAAATTTCAATATCTTAATACAGTATTTTTATAACATATTTATAAGCAAACCAGACACTATTCACTCTTAACTTGAAATAACATTAAAGTGTACCTGTATACCTGTATTGACTAAGTTAACCGTGATACAGTCCAATACCAGTGAAAAAGTGGGTGATCATTGTATTAAAATATACATCACGTGAAACTGCTTTTAATACTTATCAGCAATTCATAAAATCTATATAGTGATAACAATCAAATATGCAAAATATTAAAATTATGAAACCTACTGACCCAAAGGTAATATTTAACCACTAATTTCTGTAAACAACTACATACATCTTTTCATATAAATATAGAATATCAATGATGACCACGAGCCCAAGTTCATCATTAAGTGTTAACAGATTTTTGTAAGAATTAGAAAGCTCTAATGATGTAACAAAACACAGCTCAACCTGTTTCTTAAACAAGATCTTAAGTAACCAGTACTAATGATATTGACATGAATACTTCAATCACATAATACATGGATCATTGTATAAAATACATATATTACTCATAATTACTGTATACCCAAAACTCATGACTTTAATCATCATCGTTGAAGATAAAGCACCATATAATGTGTACCTTCATATGATTTCAAATTAAATACTGTATGATAAATGAAACTCAAATTACATTCAGACCACCAAAAATAAAGCCAAACAATTCCATTCAACTGTTACATCAGTGATTATTTTTATTCACTGAAATAAGTTATCCTTTTCAGCATGAATACCAATCACTAGTTTCGTGGATTGTGACTAGAGATTATTTAAAATATACTATCTTTGGACATTCAATCAGCAATAGTGGCCTTCACAGATGTGTGTCAACTGAGAACTTGTCAAATAATGGAATGCATATTACTAATATATTCAACAAAACTAAGATTCCACTATTTATTAGGAAATGTAAACAAAATTCTCACACACACATTACACACCTACTTTAAATGAGCTCCCTACTTTTGAGAGGTGAAGTGAAGGCCAATAATAATGCCAATAATAGTCAGCACAACAAGGAGGAGCATGATGCAGAAGCATATACGACGTCGACTCTTGCTCTGAAAATAAAAAATTCAGGCTTTCAGTGTGCTGCGCTGGTTGGTAAATAAACAGCTTCCTTTCTAAGCAAGACATTGGTTGCTCCCTATAAGAAAGTCAGAAAATAAGGTCAGAAAAGACTGCAGAGTATATCAAAACATGAGCAGACTTAGACCCATCTGTGAAATCATCATCTCAAGATGTAGCTACATACTGCTGGTCCCATGAATGACGTCCTGATCAGTCAGAGCAAGTCAACATTCAGCACCTGAGTAGCAGCACTCTTGAAATCATCACTGCCAGTCATACTGGTGCTGGCCAGACACTAGAGAATTCATCATTCAGCTTAGCATGTTCTCAACAAGTAAAATGCAACAAATTCAAAACCTTGCCTTTCTCGCTGGCAGAAATACCCAAAATTACTTTGCCAAGTATTTTATAAGGCCGGGACAAAGAATTAATGTAGCTTTCATTGATATCCAAGCTCTTATCAACACAGTGTGTCCAATGTGTTAGAAGGGTTAAATGACTCCAGAGCCACGAGATCACTGAGAGAGACAGCCATAATGACAAAGAAATGTTGACATCTGAAAAGCAATTGATGAAGAGCATACAAAATTGCATAAAGTTCAGCAGTGAAGATGCTAGTCTCTAGGGAAGGTGATACAAACAAGCTTGGTCAGAAAAGACTACAGAGTATATCAAAACATCAGCAGACTTAGACCCATCTGCGAATAGGGCAATAGAGCGCGAGTGCAAAGAAAAACGTTCAACAAAAAGGCATTTCATAAGAGTAGGAGGGGTACAAGATGAATGAAAAGTACCAGAGCTGGGGCACAACCTATTATGGTACAGAGTATCGAGACAATGAAGGGTTAAATGAGAAGCATAGAGTAGGCAGGACAGCCATAATCAAGTTTAGACAGCACAAGAGAGGAGTCCAAATAGAGGAGTGTGCAACTATCAACTTCCCAGGAAATACAGGACAAGGCGAAGTAGGGTAATGGCCTTAAAGCATTCAACCCAGAAGCAAGAGAGAGATACAGTATATGCAACCCATCCTCCTGTTTAGATAATACCTATTGTGGCTGTTGTCAATAGTTGTATGTTGTCATATGTTCTTAGCCCTTGGACAGTAGTATACTGACTAGTAAGGAATTCTTTTAAAGCAATAAAGCAATAAAACCAGCGTTGAATGTAATGAAACGCTCTTTTCTGGGCGAGTCCCGGAGGTTTCCCGGAGCTATCCAGGCTGAATGGATATGTATTACTTTCTGGCATCAGTCAAAGTGCTAGGAGTTCTTGCCTACCGGGGACCACGAGCCAGAACCTGGCCCCCTCAGAGGCACAAGGAGCAATGGCCTATAAAAACCCCCTTGTGGTTGGGAGCATTCTATGTCTGCCATTGACCGGGATAGGCACCCAGAAAGGTAGGCACCTCAAAACAAACCCCTATTCTGGTGAAAATATTGCTACCGAAAGCTGAACGAGTGGACAGAACTCCCCCAAACAAAATTATCAAACTACCATGACGTCATCACGTCGCCGCTCCACCATCTGCGCAACTCCCCCTCCCCGGGAGGGGGAAGGAGGAGCCCCAGACCCTCCACGCCGGCGATCCAACTGGCAGTTCTTGGCTGATGGTATTACTGGCCGGTCGAGTGCCTCTGGCTCTGGTTTTTGTTTCAGTTCTGTGCCTTGTGGTGTGGGCTGTCTCTACCGGTGGGGTGTGAGCCAGGAGTGAGATTCCACGGTACTCGGCCTGCATGCGCCTAGGGCTTTCTTCCCTAGGTGCCCTGTAAGTACTGCCCTTGGGGGGTTGGGCCACCTTCCACAAGTCACCTTGGGTTCTACCTCCGCTGTGTCCTTTACTGCTCAGTACTGGGCCACCCTTGGAGTCGGCTGGGGTTTTGTTGCCCTGGTTTGTCTCTGGGTATGTGGTAGTTTTCGTCACTGGTAGGGGCACGGGGTACCGCACAGCTAGTTTTCACCAATAACAGCGGCTGGCTCTGTTCCGCCTAGGTACGTTGTCCTCATGCAGGGTTTTTCTTTTGTTTTTGCCTGGTGGGGGGTCTGCCTTTCTGGTCCCTGTCATGTTAATAGAAAACGGTACCATCCATTTGTATGTAATTACCTAAGTGTGTTGTGTTGTGTTGTGGCTCAGATGCCAGGGAGAGAGATAAACAACAGAGAGCGTACAGGATGCCCGCCAAGCTTGGTAGCTACTAGTCATTTATCAGTTTAAGTATTAAAGTAATAAAGTATTAAACCAAGCAATGGCTTTATATCAACCTTACAACCAAGACTTCCTCAGCAACACACAACACCACAGTCCCCCCTTACTGTTCTAGGTGTTTTTATTTAGATATTTTCTGTTGGTGGTACTCCCACCTTGGTCCCCATGAGTGGACACGTCCCGGGGGTTCAGCTTTTTGAAGCTTGTTTGGTAGACTTGGGCGTCGGTTCGCAGTACCCTGCCTGGGCTTCCCTTAGCGTGTACCCAAGGCTAAGGGCCATGGAAAACCTCACAGGGGCTCCGTTGTCCTATCCAGACCCTCCAGCCTATGGGTGTGTCCCAACCCTACCAGACTGCCTCCGAGAAAAAAATAACATGCATGTGAACGAAATACAGTATTAAAATGACACTGAAGCAAATGGCCCCTACAGGACAAAGTCCAAAGAATGGCTGACATCTTGCTAAGAAGCAGTGGGACTTGCTCTGACATGGTGACCTGAGAAACACTTCTACTAGAGTAAACATCAGCAACAGAACTAACCGGGAGCCAGGTCTTGTCCAGGGGCTCAAGCCACCTGGTGGCAGCCATCAGTACTAACAGGCTCGAGCTAGTTTCAAGTCAACTAATTGTTTTGAATGAAAATTTTGCAGAAGCATTTGCCTGTTTTGATGCTTCGTTTTCTTTGAACATAACGTTGTCTGCAATGCTTCACTGACTATCTGAATGCTATCCCAGTGAGGGTGATTCTAATAATCCCCTGTTCCTTGTGGCTCTGTGAAGAGGGCCAGGTTCTAGCTCCGGGTCCCTGGAAGGCCAAATGGGACTCGTGCAGATGATGTGACCCAGTAGTGGAGAGCTCTTTCAGCTAGACAGCTTCAAGGAGCCCTCAGAAACAGAAACATCCTCACCTGGTACTGTTGAGCTTTTAACAGTTCCTCTCGGCCCTCTTCAACATGTCCATGAGCACATTCCACATTATCTTCTATGGAATCTACAAACAAAAATAAGAATGTTAAGGCCTAGTTATCCTAATGATTAAGATAACTAATGAAAATACAGTGGTACCTCGCATAACGATCGCCCCAAAAGACGAACATTTTGGGTAACGAACGGCCCGATCGGCGTCAAATCGTCCCGTATGACGAACGCTGATTTGAGTAACGTCAACACCACGTGGTGGGGTCGTGCTGCTGCTTGCACATTCTTAGTCGCCTCCGACGATGCACATAAATTATGTTGTTCTTGTTTAAAGATGCTAATGATGCTGGGATATAAAAGGGTGACTGCTGAGATGTTGCAAAGCATTGACGTTTTTGTAGGAAAAAAGAAATGAAATGTCTGATATACTGTACAACAAATGTCAAAAAGGTTCGTTCGGTGTTTGTTGGGTAAGCCTTTCCATTATAACAATCTTTCTTTGTTTCAAATGTGTTCCATTTGTTTTGTATTTGTCATTTACGTCTCAATAATGGAGAAGCCTACCTTACATACACTGAATAAACCATTATGACATTTTCCTTTATTCAAATGTGTTCAATATTTATTTTTCATTTGACTTATAGCAAAAGGTTCGTTCGGTGGTCGGCAGGTAGGCTGCTCCATGTTTCTTACATACAAAAAACGTAAATACATAATAACAAAAATGAAGAATTTTGAAAACCAATACAAATGTCAAAAAGGTTCGTTCGGTGGTCTACAGGTCGGCTGCTCCATGTTTCTTAAATAAAAAAAAAACGAAAAATAAAAGAACTGTTGAAACAATATGAAAAATGGACAAATGCCATAAAGGTTCGTTCAGTGTTTGTCGGGTAGGCTGCTCCATTATTGAGACGTAAGTGACAAATACAAAACAAATGGAACACATTTGAAACAAAGAAAGATTGTCATAATGGAGCAGCCTACCCAACAAACACTGAACGAACCTTTTGCTATAACAAATATGAAAGACAAGGGCTGCTGGCTGGGTTAGTACTGTGTGAGCAACCATTTGTAGCACACGTGCCTCTGGCTCTCAAACACCTGTCCCACACGGTGTTGAAAGACTGCACTCAGTCAGTGCAATTCAGACCCTATTGTTTGAAGAACATAAGGGTCATAACATTGGTGAAGCTAGGCGCAATAAGGTCTTAACACAACGGTTGGATGCCAGTGATACAGCACCTATGAGGATGATACAGCGAGCATATCCAGTTGTAGCTGAACCCCACCCTTGCCATCTTGAATTTATATAGATGATACATAGATGAATCGTTTTCTGCGTTCAGTGATGATGCATCTGATACAAGTAGCATAGATGAACAGTGTTAGCGGCTTCCATGGTGGTGCTGTTCATTGATATTTAAAAGAATACCTGAATCTCTTCCTGACTGATGGACACTCTTTGAGGCTAGCTGAATCTCTTCCTGACTGATGGACACTCTTTGAGGCTAGCTGAATCTCTTCCTGTATGGGACCTTATAAAGTGATCTTTTCAAGACTACCTTACAATTTGAGCTTTTCCTATAATCGTTTCAATACTACCTTATGCTTTACAAGCTTGGCTACATACCACCTACAAGTACTAAAGCCAAGGGTGCATGCGAGTGCGTTATTTGCAAGCACACAAAACGATGAAACAGGAAACGAAAATCTATCTATAGATGGTGCAAGGAGAGCAAAGTCGCGCTGTGTACCATGGACTACTTCGTTGACTATTACGCACCTCCAAAGTACTGAGTGTAATATAGTGCGTTACTGTGTAAATAGTATGTGAAACTGTACATATTGTAATTTTAGTGAATTTTTACCACGTAATATTGTGACAATAAACATTTATTGTGGACACATTACTGACACATGTATCACAGTTTCATGGAAAATTATGAACATTCTACTGTATACATATTGTAAAGGTCACAAATATGCATCATATACGATAAAAGAAACAAATGCATTTTCGCATTGGAAATGCATAGAAAAAATATTTGAAAATATATTTGTGGCAACACGCGGTGCTTGAATGGCGTGCGCGACCGTGTCTGGGAGCTTCACACACGGGCGACCAGCCCCTGATGACGTCACAGCGCACCTTGTCCACGCCCTCACAGCCAAAGTAAGTGGAATTTGGTAATTATTTTTACATAGACATGTTCAGGGACGGTAATTTATCATTTTGCAAAGAAAAATGATATTTTGGGGAACATTTGATGTCATGTACACTGGGGGAATTTTACAATATACACAGTGCATCACACTGGTTACATGGGGGACACTCGTTTTGTATGATGTCCGTTTCACATGGCGGACATGGAACGGATTAAATTCGTTATGCGAGGTACCACTGTATACCTGAACTAATAAATTTGAAACATCTTGATTAATTTATATTATGTTGGGATACAACGTGCCTGGCCTCTACCTTGGCCCAGGCACTAAAACAGGCTAGGTTATTAAATTCTATGTTTGAATTTGTTACAAAAAAGCAAAGGGTAAATAATAGGAAAACCCTAACACAAGCAGGAGGAAAATTAAAGGCTGTTTAAAGAGACAGGGGGTCTCTTTACCGTGCGGGGTCTGTTTTGTTATGCCAACCTTTCAGGGTGCCTAACTCAGGTCCGTGCCAGATAAGGAAAACCCCCAACTACAGGGGGGATGGGGGTTCCAGGGCTATTGCTCCCTGCGCTTCTCTGAGGGGGCCAAGTTCTGGTTCGTGGTCCCCAGTAGGCTGAATGCCATAGACTAATGCCCCGGTTTAATGATTCGCATATTAGACTGATAGCTCCAGGGAGTCAAAGGGGGCTCCCCACAGAAAATATGTGGTCATCTGAATTAGAGTATTACAATTAGGAACTTCCCTAAAAACCCTCTAAGCGACTTACCCACAATCTCGCCTTGTGCAGTAACCATAGACGAGAGATCACGCATAACTTCATTTATATCTATTATGTCAGTCTCCAGCTGACGGACTCTCTGTTCTCTTTCTAGATGCATTGCCGTTTCAAACTCCAGATCCTGAAAAATTTAACACATTTCACTTCCAGACAAGTCTCATTTTTAGAAGAAAAAAGAAAATGGAGGAAGGGTGAAGGGTCCTTGATGATTTTAATTTTGATTGCTTCAGACAAAATATTCTTTACTTGTCTTCCAAGTACAGTATCTATAGCAATTTAAATTTGTAATGGATGCTTAAAAAATATAAAATTTGGAAAATGAAGCTAAATTAATTTACGAGTTCACATTAATTTTACTATTAAATAAGCAGGAACCCGCACAGTATAAAAGTCACAGGATAAAATATTTGAAATCATAGCAACACCTTTACTCATTTGACCATGTTTTATATCCTGAGATATGTCAGCTTGGTGAGACCTTTTTCAACCAAAAAGGCTTGTAACTAAACTTCAGATTAATTCATTTTTTTGGGGTAGAAGAAGGTAGAGATTTTTTAATTTTGACTTCATTCAGCACAAATTTTAAAATGGGCATTACATACTTTCCCTGTGAAGGGTACAGTATAGAGAATATAAATAAATAAGCCAATCTACATAACTCTTGACAAAATTATATTAGAAAGCGATGAGTCACAATAACGTGGCTGAAGTAGTTTCACCAGACCACACACTAGAAGGTAAAAGGGCGACGACGTTTCGGTCTGTCCTGGACCATTCTCAATCAACTTGAGAATGGTCCAGGACGGACCGAAACGTCGTCGTCCCTTCACCTTCTAGTGTGTGGTCTGGTCAAACTTATATTAGAAAATTAAAATAGGACATACGTGTACATACTCTTATTTCTCATATTCACTAAGAGAACCAGATGACAAGTCCACTTCATATTCATTAGCAACAATTAGGAACAGTCACTGGTGATTTATGTCGTCCTCACAATTCCTCAATAAGTGGTTTATTTTTTAACTTTCATGTGAATAGGAGCCAGTATTATGGTATCAAACATACCTTTAGTCTATTTGGTCACTTCCAAAATTATGCTTCCCTTTCAATATTTATTAAATATTATGCAAATACTGTAATTGTTTTCTTGTCAAAACAGCTATAAAGAGGCCTTTGCAGCTTCTCTAGCTTAAGTACTAGTAAAATATAGCCAAGCCTTGGAAATTGCACCAACCCTCTTGAGACCTATGCCAACTCAATGGAAGCCATGACCAAAATCCAGATCTTTATGATGCGAGAACATCATTAAGGATCAGAGTTGCCCAAAACAGAGAAAAAAACAGTAATGAAAGTAATAAAACTCCTCACACACAGAGATCACACTAACGTGATGCATCAAATGAACAAACCTCCCGGACGCAGGTTCGAATCCTGGTCACGGCCCTTGTGGATTTGTTCAATAAAACTCCTCTTACTGGCTGGGCCTCAGTGGCTTCCTGCAGCCGGCAACACTGAGATAGCTCCACACACGAGCCATATTAGCGCTAGGAGTCTGTAGTAGCCTACCAGGAACCAGAACCCTGGTGTCCTTACAGAGGCGCAGGGAGCAGGCAATTGTTACCATTACCCTACCAGGGTAACCAGGGAGCTGGTCGGCCGAGCGGACAGCACGCTGGATTTGTGATCCTGTGGTCCCGGGTTCGATCCCGGGCGCCGGCGAGAAACAATGGCCAGAGTTTCTTTCACCCTATGCCCCTGTTACCTAGCAGTAAAATAGGTACCTGGGTGTTAGTCAGCTGTCACGGGCTGCTTCCTGGGGGTGGAGGCCTGGTCGAGGACCGGGCCGTGGGGACACTAAAAAGCCCCGAAATCATCACAAGATAACCTCAAGATAACCCTTGTGAAGGAAATATCCAGAAAAAAACCAGCGTTGAATGTAATGAAACGCCATTTTCTGGGTGAGACCTGGAGGCTCCCCGGAGCTTTACCGGCTGATATGCTAATGTCAGACTTTGGCATCAGTCATGTGTATGGAGTTCTAGGGCCTACCGGGGACCACGAGCCAGAACCTGGCCCCCTCAGAGAGGCAAGGGGAGCAATGGCCTATAGAAACCCCCGTGTGGTTGGAAGCATTCTATGTCTGCCATCGACCGGGTCAAGCATCCAGAAAGGTAAGCATTCCAAAACAAACCCCTATTCTGGTGAAAATTGCTACCTAAGCCGAACTAGTGAATAGAACTCTTCAACAGAAAACACGGAAACTAGTATGACGTCATACGTCACCGCGCCGCTGTCTGCGCAGCTCCCCCCTCCCCGGGAGGGGGAAGGGGGAGCCCCAGACCTCCCACGCCGGCTATCCACCCATCAGTTCTGAGGCTGGATGTCAAAACACGCGAAAAACGCCGACCGGAGGGAGGGAGGGTTGCCGGGGAGCCTCCGGGTCTCACCCAGAAAATGGCGTTTCATTACATTCAACGCTGGTTTTCTGGGGGGAGCCCCGTCGGCTCCCCGGAGCTAACTACCCACAGAGGAAGGTCAAAGGGACAAAACCGGGAGGCGGACACCACGCACCCCCCAAGGAGGCGAGACAACCGGCAGCAAACGCCAACCCAAGGCGCCACAGCCCCGAAAATCCCGGGAACAACACGAGAACCACGAGCAGCAAGGCCCCTGCACGAACACCAAAAATCCATGCCCGAAAGACTGCAAGGCCACGTCGCCCAGACGGCAGCGAGAGCAGCGAAGCCACGAACGCCACAGGCATGAGGGAAGAACACAGGCAGCTTAGCCGCAAGAACACGGCTGACCACCCGGGACACCATCACCCGCGAACCGGGAAGAACAGAACCGGATCAACGCAAAACGCGCTCCGGACCCAAACGCCGTGGCACGCAAACAACAGCAGAGGGCCGCCACTGAACACAAAAACGACACACCCCCGGCCCGACCAACAAAGCACCAACAAACCCTGGACCCCTCCAGAATGCAGCAGCCCCACCCCGCGCCAGAAAAGATGGAGACTGCTGCCATCAAACAACCAAAACGCTAAAACCGAAGGAGCAAGAAAACACAGCGAACCGACCCCCAGAGGCAAAGGCCCAAAGGAAAGAGCCGACGAAAAAACACACCGGAACCGAAGGGGCACTACCAACCGAGGAGAAGACAGAGCACGCTGACCAGAGACCAGGATGGTGCAAGCGGCGCACGAACAGGCCGGAGGTGAAATGACGCACAAGACAGCTGACTAACGGTGCAGAAGCAACACCAAGACCGAAAGCAAGCTGAAGCGGCTCCGCCTGCGCCGCACGAAAAGAGGCGACAGTATGTGGCAAGACGACGGCCCCCAACCCCCACTAGAAAACCAAGCCGAGAGTAAACCAAGCCAACAAGAAGGACCCACCGAAGAAGGGACAGGAAAAGGAAGGACCGCCAAAATACCCCATACTGCCGCCAAGAAAGCACGCAGGTGGGACACCTACCACGAAGCCACCCGACCACCAACCGGAGGCGAGACCACGAGGCAGAACATAAGCAGCCCCGACAAGGCCCCCCCGAGCCCAGGAAAAAGGCGGAGCCGCGAGAAGATCTCGGGCGCGACCACCGAAACCCAGGCGGCACAAGGAGATGGAACGTCTGCCGAACAGAAAAACTCCGAAGCATGCAAGCCCGCCAGGAGTTCAGAAACGACGGGTCCGACGCGAGACATCGCAAGAACCCCCCCAAAAGAATAAAACAACAACAACCGGCAGGGCAAGCTAGGAAAACCAAAGAAGGCGGAAGGGTCGCCGCCAGAACAGGACCCGAACCAAGGGGCACGAACAACTGCAACAGACCGAGACAAAGAAGCACATCACAGGACACAGGCTGACCAACGCCTAAGAACACACGCAGAACATTCCTGCTGCAGAAGAGGCAGGAAGAAAGAGCAGAAGCACAAAAAAAAAAAAAAAAAAAACCAGGAGAACAACCAGGGGTGGACAATCAGGCAGGGACAAAAACCCCACGCAATCCCCAGGCACAAAACGGCAGCAAAGCGCCACTCCACAACCGGACACAGGAACAAGGACACGCCACCGTGAAACACGGTACCAATGCTCACGTGCAGCAGCAGCAGCAACAGGCACCACTGCAACATGCAACATGTAAATAGCAACTCCCCTCTGCAAAGGCAGAGAACGGAGCAGGCAGACCCCAGACAGGGCCAACGGAGACACGACAAAACCCTGCAGGCCCAGAAACCTGCACCAGGCGACCGACGGCGGAGAAACCCCGCTCGATACCTGCTGGATGAGGTACTGGGAGCTCTTTTACACCTCAAGCCCGGCCCAAGGTCAGGCCAGACCGGCCAGAGGATGGCCCACCAGGCAGCTGCTAGGAGCAGTCCACCGGCCCACATACCCCCACAACCAGGACGGGCCGGAACTGCCATACGAAAACAGGCCAGTGCGCCCTGGAAGTCCACGGACGAACCAGCAAGAAGGCTTATGCTCGCAAGTAGGTCGTGTAACAAGCACAGACCACTGATGGTAATACAGTGTTCCCCAAAAGTGCCAATAGCACCACTGCACTCCACTGGTACTATCCCGCAAGTTCTACCAGATAGGCGGGACCCAAGAGCCAGAGCTCAAATCCTGCAAGCACAGCCAGGAGCCTCACCAGGTGAGTACAGAACCAACCCTACAACCCCCACACCTCACAACATTAAAAAAGGAGGGTCCCCTGAACGACTCCAGCATGGGTTGGACATGCACATGAGGGGGACAGGAAGGGGTGATAAAGGGACAGTCACTGGTGTGCGAACGGTCTCAGTCGTACAAAATTATACCTAAATAAAGACAGGTATATGAACACCGCCGCATCCAGCGCCCGGCCAAAAGACGCCAGACCGCAGAAACTCACCTGGCGAATGGTGGCTCGAACTTGACACGACTCAACCGTGCCCAGAAGAACTTGGGAGCACCGCCAGGTGAAGACGCCAGAGCCGGACCCGCAGGAGAACAGGGAGAGGTGAAGGAGGCGGTCCACACCCATGACACAGAAAACCGCGGTGTCCTCCCCACAACTGGGAACCAGGACACCCCTGGCGCAAAGGGGCACATACCGCAGCCAGGGAGAAGAACG